AATTGATTTCGAATAGAAATCTATTTTGATTTGTTGATTTTTTTGCACCTAAAAAATTTAAATTTTACTCAAAGTGGGTGGCCACATGTATTATAAGTCATTCCGTAAAGTTTTGAAATTTTTGATTTTTTTAAATTTTTTTGGGCACCTAAAAAATTTAAATTTCACTCAAAGTGGGTGGCAGGTATTAAGCCATTTTGTGAAGTTTTGAATTTTTTATTTTTTTATTTTTGGGCACCTCAAAAATTTAAATTTTACTCAAAGTGGGTGTCTGATATTCTAAGCCATTCTGTGAAGTTTTGAAATTTTTATTTTTTTTTATTTTTGGGCATCTCAAAAATTTAAATTTCACTCAAAGTGGGTGGCGCAGGTATTTTAAGCCATTTTGTGAAGTTTTGAAATTTTTTATTTTTTTATTATTTTTCTTTTTTGGGCCTCAAAAAATTTAAATTTCACTCAAAGTAGGTGGCTAATGCGTATTTTAAGCCATTTTGTGAAGTTTTGAAAATTTTTGATTTTTTTTTGGCACCTCAAAAAATTTAAATTTCACTCAAAGTGGGTGGCCACATGTGTTTTAAGCTATTCTGTAAAGTTTTGAAATTTTTTATTTTTTTTATTTTTTAAAAAAAAATTCACCAAATTTCATATTTTCCCAAATCGACTTTTTTTATTTTCTGGAAATTTTTATGAATTTTTCTAGAATTTTTCAATTTTATGCATTTTCTAAAAAAAAATTGTGAGAAAATAGGAGAATGCATTCCGGAATCAAGAAGCTACAAAAAGTAGCTTTTCTCTTTCTTCAAAACTCATTCCGGAATCAAAATGCGTTCTGGAATCAAGAATGCATTCGGAATCAAGTATTTTTAACAAACGCATTTTTATTCCGAATGCAAAAATCGCTCCGGTAATGCATTCCGAAATTTTTTAACAAACGCCATTCTATTCGGAATGCATTCGGAACAATTTTATTCGGAATGCATTCCATGCGCACCCTAAGCATCCGACTGCTCATGTCACTTTGATGAAGAAGTTGCAGAAGAACTAGAGAAGGGGTTCATCATTTTCCAAACGGAATAATGGCACAAATGATTCCTGAAATATAATTCGATGTGAAATATGTCCATTAACTTTTAATTTATTCAATGTGAACCCTAAATTTTTGGTACATGTTCAACTTAGTTCCTGAACTATATGAAAATGTTCGATGTTAATATTCAATATGGTCAATGAACTTTTAATTTGTTTAATATGACAACATTGAACATTTTCATATAATTCAGATACTAAGTTGAATCTGTATAAAAAGTCCAGGGACCACATTGAATAAATTAAAAGTTTAGAAACCATATTTTACATTGGGTTACAGTTCATAGACCACAATTAACAAATTAAAAGTTTAAGGACCACATTGCATATTGAATCAAAGCTCATGAGCCATTTATGTCTTGTCCCTTTTCCAATCAAAGAACTTTAGGCGTTTTTTTTTTAATCTCATTTTTCTCTTCTATATACAAATGCATGCGGTGCTCACCACAATCGAACCCTGGACCTGGTACTCTCTGCCCCCTATGCCTATTGACAACTTTAGGCGCTGAGATTTAGTGAATTTTTAGCGAATTTTTAGCTCATGAGTGGACAAAATGAATATCTCAAGAAGGATCATCTAACATTTACCCATGGATGGTCTTTGGACACCACTGGGAAAGAGAGGCAATTGCTTAAGAGGGGCAATATTTTCCTCCAATTCGAATTAAGGAAACTTCCTCCAACCACCCTTGTGACGGGTGGGATACCAATTGCGGACACGACTCTCATGCAAGTGTCACGGGCTGGCAGTTCCTTGGCTGCGAAATAACCCGTACAGCATCTGATGAGTCATTCATACCAGGTCAGCCCTTGTTCTGTAGTTGTTTCAAAGAACAATACGGCAAATAGTTTCCTCGTATCGGATCATACCATGCCCAGTATAGTTCGAGCGTCTAGTTTATCGAGCGAGACATGCAAAATACTTTAGGCACCATAACTGGTTTCGGCTTGCCATGACCTCATTGAGAGAGCGGCATCAGTTTCTGACCAATTTGTGAGCTCCAGAGGGTATATCCGTTCCATTCTAGAACTCCTAACACCAATCGTCCGGACACCACTTCTACGACCCAGTTGTATTCATCCATTTTGCATCACTCACTCTTCACCCTAAGCTCCAAGGAGTATGAGAGAATCACAGTTCGTAACATTCTCCCCCACTCAATTTTGCAACGCCCTAGTTGCAAGCTGTTATGTTGCTTTCTTGCATTGCTTCTTGACCATCAACGCTTCTTTTTCGGGACTTACATGAGTGGTGAACGCTCGCCCAACGAAACAACTTCTCTCCACCGGTGGCTTTTTCTCGATCAAAGCCGTTCGGCACCCTCGGTCACTTGTGCTTTCCCTGACAAGTGTGACATTTGCCAATTGCACCATTTTGGCAGCACCATTCTTCGCCTATTTTCGGTTTCTCATGATCTTAGTAGATCATTGGAGGTTTTTTCTCCATGTTGATAACGTGGTAGCATACCCATCTTAAGATTCACCAAACTAATTCAAAAACGTTTTCCCTATTCATTGAAGAATCGGTTCTTTGTTGCGCCCCCATTGTCATCCAAGAAGCTAGTCGAGAGCTGCACTTTATTAGAGCATTTAGCTTCACGCAATTCAGTCTCCGTCCTCACAGGACCGGGTAAACCACAGGTTTTATCCGACTCAACTCACCCACTGAAGGGATCCTGCTCTAATACCATTTGTCACGGACTTGCAGTTCCTTGGCCACGGAATAGCTCGTGCGACGCCGGTGGGTCGTTCACACCAGACCAGCCTTCGTTCTATAGTTGTTCCAAAGAACAATATGGTGAATAGCTTCCTCGTATCGGATCGTACTATATCCAACATAGCTCAGGTATCTAGTTTATCGAGCGAGACACGCATAATACTTTAGGCACCACAACTGGTTTCAGCCTGTCATTACATCATCAGGAAAGCGGTATCAGCTCCCGACCAGTTTGTGCACGGAAGGCCAACTCCGCCTTTAAAGCTCCCAAGGGCATATTCGTTTCATGCTAGAACTCCTAGCACCAATCGTCCTCACACCACTCTCATGATCCAGTTATGTTAATCCCTTCTGCATTACTCACTATTCGCCTAATATCCCCAGACTCCACTCACAAAGGTACATGAGTATGAAAGAATCACGGTCTATGACATTCTCCCCCACTCAATTCCGCAACGCCCTCATTACAGGCTATTCTGTCGCTTCCATGCATAACTAATCATAAATATAGTTGATGTCTATAATTGCAACCCATTGATCAGAAAGTAGTCGGAGGAGAACATGATCAGTGTGAATAGGAAGATCACAATAATTTGTAGAGTTTTGTCAATGAGCGCACCAAAAACATTGGTTAAGCAACTATTTAAGCAAACTCTACAGTTTTCATTATAGCGGCTGCCTCATGTTACTTGTAATCCATACTAATGAGTCATTCTTGATTTATTGACTCGAGGCAAAATCTGTAAAGGTATTTGGATAGTCGATGAGAGTCATGGCACTTCGTTGTATAAAATTCACGGCGCAATCTAGGAAAACATAATTCGAGAATCATACAAAAAAACCTCTGTGATTTGATAAAGCAGATGAACATGCTTGGAATGACTTTTTATTTTAACTTTCGACTTTCTATAAATTTCGCGGAATTCACACTTTGACTTTTGTTCGGACCGAAACACTGGAATTTCACAATCTTCAAATTTAATATCGATATCTAAAACCGTTCGCTCTATTTTTTTGTCTTTACCATTTCCCCGAAATTTATGATAATTTTTTTTACTTTTTTTAAATAAGCCTCACGTGTGTTAAGCTCGAGGTTCAATTCGACTTAATTTCAAATTTACAAAATTTCCCAAAAATTAAATAAAAAATTAGCACAGAACAGAACCAAGCCGTGAGAGAGAGAGAGAGAGAGCGAGAGAGAGAGAGAGAGAGAGAGAGAGAGAGAGAGAGAGAGAGAGCGTCAGCATGATAGCCGTTATGTAATGAAGAACGCTGAATCGCTTTTAAAAAAGGCACCGCATACTTTCTCACGTGGGCCTCATCATTTGTGATTTTGCCCTCGTATCATCCTCCCCCCTCCCCCTCCGTTTTCCCACTTTTGCCCCTAACGGATTTTCCCCGTGCTTTCTTTGCGAATGATAATAATGCCAGAAACTTTTATTTTAATCGCACTTGCTTTTCGAAACAATAGTGTCATTTTGCTAATTATGATGCACGAGTCACTAAATTAGCGTATTTTTTTTTCTTTTTTGCCTATCCGAAAGTTTTTCTTGCACGTCGATACGATTTTTACGCATTTGCTTCGGTCAATTACGAATCCCCTAACTCATTAATTACTCGAGAGGGGTACTTTCCCGTCGATATTGCGAACCAACTGCGGCTCCTAGAAACATTTAAAATTACTTATTAAGGCGACATCGGAAGTCATAATTACATTTTGGCAAGGCAATAGCCAAACTTGTTAGATTTTTCTTAAGTACGAATTCCTTACTGAAAATGATGTAAGCCCTGCTTAATCCGTAATTAGTTCCAGAATCAGGAGAATCCAAAGGAGGGCAGATTAGTCCATTCACAGAATCCCCAAGTGGAAGCAGAGAGAGACAGAGAGAGAGTAATTTGAATTCGCGAGAGAGAGAGAGCCCCAACTTTGAACGCTTTGACAGCTCTGCACCCGTCCCAAGTTTGTTGGGCCTCCCTCTCTCTCTCTCCCCTTCCTCTCCTCCTCTCCTTCTTTCACTTCACCTCAACCTCACCACCCCACACCAAGAACAAGAAGCAGAAGCAGAAGCAGAAGGAGAAGCAGAAGGAAGAAGGCGATATAGAGATCGAGATAGATCACAAGAGACGGCTCAATCTCCCAGAGAGAAGAGATCGTGCGCGCGCGCGTGTCGCGATCGGAGCACGCACCCGCGCTCCTCTTCCCTTCGCCGGAGGCCCCCTCTCCATCGCCGTCGTACAGCTCCTCCTCCGCCGCGCCAGCCATCGGAACATGTCTGGCTACGTCGGCATCCTGGTGTCCGATCCGTGGCTCCAGAACCAGTTCACTCAGGTCGAGCTCCGCAGCTTGAAGACGCACGTGAGTTTTCCGTCCCCCCCACCCCTTCTCTCCAATGCCGATCCCTTCGCTGCCGGTTTTTTCCCCGTTGCTTCTTCTTCTTCTTCCGATGACCTGCGTTTTCAGCTCCGTTTTTTTTTTTTGTGCTCTCGAGCCTTTTCGTTTGGAATCGGAACGGTTCGTGGTTGTGATGACGACGGCTTGATCGGGTGCAGTTCATGAGCATGAGGAGGGAGAGCGGGAAGCTCACGCTCGGGGACTTGCCTTCCAAGATGTCGAGATTGAAAGTGGTCGGAGAGAGCCTGACCGAGGACGAGAGGGAAGCTTTCATTCAGGACTTGTATCAGAACATGCAGGACGAGGTGGATTTCGAGCTCTTTCTCAGGGTAAGCAAGTTCTCAGCTTTCGTTGCTCGCGAATTCGCGACAACAATTGTGCTTCATCTTGAATCTAACATTCTCGTTACTCTTTCATTTGAATCCTTGGTAAACTTGAGCTGGATGTTTTGCTTTTCACGTTGATCGACTGATTGCTAGTATCATGAATGAAGTTTCTGCTCAATGTTTTGGGTTGCTGCACTATTTGATTGATGAGAAAATTGCCAGAGAATGCAAAGTCGATCTATCCGAAAGGCCGCAAGGCCTTTCTCGCGGCTTTCGAAGTCGAGGAGCTACATACTACTTAAACTTTGCTGGCAATTTGATCCAAGAATTTCACCAGATTTTGGAATAAATGGGCACATTTGATTCCTGAAGATCATCAAGGCTCTGCAAAAATTGGTCCACAAAACAGTGCTGTGTTTGAGTTCAAAATTGCAAGATTTAATTCTTATAATCTTCTCTGCAGGGGTGCTATATGGGATTTACAGTTGATGACGATGTCTTCTTTGATTTCAGGTCTACTCGAAACTGCAAGCACATGCGACTGACAGAAGGGGTAGTGGCGCAAAAAGTTCATCTGCGTTCCTGAAGGCCGCTACTACCACGCTGCTCCACACAATAAGCGAGTCTGAGAAGGCATCTTATGTCGCGCATATTAATAATTACCTCAAGGAAGATGAATTCTTGAAGAAGTATCTGCCTATAGAACCTTCAACCAATGATCTCTTTGAGATTGCAAAGGATGGCGTTCTTCTTTGGTAATTATAGCGGTGCCCTCCGACTCTGCTTTGCTTACTGGTTTTATGCTTGCAATTTTGATATTGGAACCACTTCCTCTACTGCAGCAAGCTTATCAATGTGGCAGTTCCTGGGACAATAGATGAGCGCGCCATCAATACTAAGAGATTGCTCAATCCCTGGGAAAGAAATGAAAATCACACACTTTGCCTAAATTCTGCCAAGGCTATTGGATGTACCGTCGTAAATATAGGCACTCAAGACTTCATTGAAGGAAGGGTATGCATGCTTGCCTTTTCTTACATATAAGAGCTACGTATTTGTTTGAGTTGATGAAGTTAGCTTGGGCATCCAGCTCTCTCTGAGTTCAGCATAAATTGACAATTCTCGTTTCTATGTTCAGCGCCATCTTGTCCTTGGTGTGATTTCACAAATCATAAAGGTAAGATCGCCAATATGATCCTCTAAATGCACATGCTGCGTAAAAAGTTTTTTGAGTTCATATATTTGCTCAGTAATTATGAACATGAAAACTTTCTCCAGATACAATTATTGGCTGATCTCAACTTGAAGAAAACACCTCAGTTGGTGGAGTTGGTCGAAGATAGTAAGGTATAATTTGCTGCTCAGCAAGTAGTTCACATTCTATCTCTATATTTAATTGTTGTCTTATATGCAATGCCTTCCAACTTGAATTACAACAGGATGTGGAAGAGTTGATGAGTCTACCACCAGAGAAAATCTTGTTGAGGTGGATGAATTTTCAGTTGAAGAAAGCAAATTACGAGAAAATAGTAACAAATTTCTCTTCTGATGTAAAGGTATGTGAGGACAAGTCGAAGCTAAAGCCTAAATTCTGCAGAATTTGTTGTGCCTGGCTTTTTACCAAATATAACCTTGGACATATCTGTGTTCCACAATCTCATCTTCTCATTTTGAATGTAGCTGTTTTCTTTCCTTTTTTTCTTTTTTGTTTTTTCCTGATGGATGCTGCGATATTCTCAGTCACTTCCATTTCAGTGTTATCTGTTAAGATGATGCTGTTGTTGATTGTATTGTATGTCTTGGCTGTAGGATGCTGAGGCCTATGCTCACCTCTTAAAAGTTCTTGCTCCGGAGCACTCTGATTCGTCTGTATTCACAGTAAAAAGTCCTCTAGAAAGAGCAAATTTAGTTCTTCAGCATGCAGATAGGATGGGTTGCAAGAGATACCTTACTGCAAAAGATATTGTTGAAGGTTCTCCGAATCTCAATCTCGCTTTTGTTGCACATATTTTCCAACATAGGTAAGAGTAGGCCTTCAGATTTATGAGCTTCTGCTGATATGGTTTGTCTTTGTTGGACTGTCAAGAGTGGTCATCCTCCTTCATTTGGAAGCAAGAAGATTGAAATGTAAAGTAAATTGATACCAATGGGTTCTCAGGGAAAACCTAATCGGAAAAATATTTTCCAACAAGTTTTCATGTAAATATGAGCTAAATGAAGTTTTGAAGCTTCATGAAGCATACGTTTTTTAATATTATAGCAGGTATATATGACTTAGCTTTAGTAATGAAATATATTGCTTCTCCACATAATGCAGTGCCGATAGAAAGGAACATAGAGAGTACCCAAGTTGTATGTTTTACAGTCTCACAATAATGCATTCGACTTCTTCATGGGATATTGATGTGAAATGGACCTGATCACATTTTTTCCACTGATTTACTCTATTTTCTGTAAGGATATTGTCATCTATTAAAGGTTTTGAGCATGCAGAAGTTTACGACGTGTATCAGTCGCAGTAAGGACACAAGTCCATTGGACCTTGCCATTAAAAATTTAAAAGCTTCGTAACAAGAGTCAATCATTCTTTATTAGCAACAGTTTTCTATCTATTGAAAATTGCAATTCAAAGTTCTGCTCCTCTCTTTTGCTGCGAGAAGATCATTGCATGTTAAAGTTGTTTCTCTGACCTGCAGGAATGGACTGTCAACCCAGACAAAACAGATTTCTTTTCTTGAAACTTCTCCAGAGGACACCCAAGTATCTAGAGAAGAAAGAGCATTTCGCTTTTGGATAAACAGTTTTGGAAATTCAACATACATTGACAACGTCTTTGAAGATCTTCGAAATGGGTAAATATTGTTTTTATATTTAATTGACGTTTCCGAAAGGACAGCATATTTGTAATTTGCAGAACCCCCTACCCTCAATGTGGAAGTTCTGCTTGTTAAGAATACTGCTTCTGGTTGACCTTATAATTTGTCAAATGAAGCATGGTGTACTAGCTAGAATTTGTGATGTAGTCAATTTTGACTGGACATTTTCTGAAATGAGTGTGTGTGTGTGTGTGTGTGTGGTCTTGCTTTTTAATGGAGTGGAAAACTTCAATTATATCCAGAGATCAAGTGAATTTGATTTTCCTCTGCAGGTGGGTATTGTTGGAAACACTGGAGAAAGTATCACCAGGAATTGTCAACTGGAAGCATGCAAATAAGCCCCCAATAAAAATGCCATTCAAGAAAGTAGAAAACTGTAACCAAGTTGTCAAATTAGGAAAACAGTTGAAGTTTTCCTTGGTTAATGTTGCTGGCAACGATATAGTTCAGGGGAATAAGAAATTAATATTGGGTGTGTTCTCGATCTCTCCACTAAATTAACTTGATCAAGTACTCTACTATATATTTTCGAAGCATTTTGCAAATCATAATGTTAAGTTCAGAAGGTTATCTTTTCTTCTTTCAGCTTATTTGTGGCAACTGATGCGATACAACATCCTACAACTTCTAAAGAATTTGAGATTTCGTTCTAATGGGAAGGAGATCACTGATGCTGATATCCTAGAATGGGCCAACACCAAAGTGAGGAACACGGGAAGTAAGAGCCGGATGGATAGTTTTAAGGTACTCTACATTCTAACAACTTTTCTCCATATTCGATCATTTGCTTTTGAGGAATGATCTTGCTGGTCCTAGAGTTGAAAGTACACACGTTTAGGTCTTTAGATGTCATCCTGACAAGATCGATGTATACAATTAATGGGTGATCAATTACCAAGCTTCATAGTATATATCATCCTGTGCGAGTGTTGCAATGGAGTGCTAGTTTGTGTTTCCTACTTTTAAGTTCTAACCCAAAATGGTAGCCGTTGATAGACTGCATTTATTGACAACTATGTGAAGTTCTTATTATAATCTCCTGATTTGGTTGCCCACTTAATTTCCAATAAAAATCTCTTATCAATCTCTAGGAAGATAGGTAAGAAGCATTTTTTCAATTTATTTTTGGAAAATAATTAGGAAAAGATTTTCCTTGTAAGAGATTAGCGCACTCTGCATGGTGTCTCCATTGTCATTCAATGTCCAAGTTATATATGGGAGTGTAATTCCTTAATCGCTTCTTCATTGCAGGATCGGAGTTTGTCTGATGGCATATTTTTCCTGGATCTTTTAAGTGCTGTGCAGCCAAGAGCTGTGAACTGGAGTCTGGTTACAAGAGGAGTAACGGGTGAGTTTACTTCTAGGATCTGTTTTCTTTAATTTTTTGTCCAGATACTTTACATACGATTATTTTTTCGACAAAAATAAAAATAAAAATGCTGGCTAAACTAGGTTAGTGTCTGACAGTTCAAGATGCAGCGAGCTTTTGGAATGATTTAAAGTTAGATGGTCAGAACAACTTACAGTCACTCTGCATTTTCTAAGTACATATGATACAAAAGCAAATGAAATTTCTAGGTAAAACCAAGACCGAGCTGATATAAATTCTCTCATCAGCATAACTTTGCCGACTAAAATTTGAAGGACTTAAATTCCAAGCCAATGTGGAGTGTGGTGGTAATTTGCTACATGCACCAAGTATTGTGTATAATAACTGCCTTTCTAAGCGCATATGTCAGTCCACCAAGTCTACTATGTTCCTCTGTCTATGTCCTTTCTATTGCTTAGGAGCATATAGAGGACCAATCACTTTACCACATTGGTTTTGCAAATCTACGTTGTTAATCATAGGTAATCGTTCATTAGTTCCATGAATATCCCCATTCATACTTTCTTAGGGGTAAATACATAGATAGCCTTGTCCAATGAAGCAAATTCTTGACAATCCAGAATTTGTGGTTCTCTTATCTTTTCTTCCATCTTCTTTGCTTTCTGATCTTTATTATCATCATCATCATTTAAAAGTGTCTAATCTTGACCTAATTTACCTGTGTTTATTGGACAAATGTAGATGAAGAGAAAAAGATGAATGCTACCTACATCATAAGCATCGCGAGGAAACTGGGATGCTCGATATTTCTTCTTCCAGAAGATATAACTGAGGTACGGATTAGTAGTTCTATTTAGTAATGTGTATGATTGGTGGGTTATGTCCTCTACTCAGAGTCTACCTTCCATGTCCAGTGCTCGCAAAACATTTTAGGTGCTACTCTACGCAATACTACCATGTCTTACTATTAAATGGCAGATCAAATTTAATTCCACTGCCAGTGGATATTGCTTCCAAAGAACAATCTCGTTGTCGTGGCCCATATTATGCTCTTGAATATGGTTCCGATTGAACCCAGTCATCAAGGTCTTTGCATTGTACGATCTCTTAGGTTCCTAATCTATTAATAGATTGGCTAGGAGGTATATGAACCGTTGCACGCAAACAACTGTGTGAAGACAGAAGCGGGTCATAACTTTATGCAGTTTCAGACTGCACTTGTACATCAAAATTCAACTCCTCTCCTCTCATTTCTGTCTTAGTTATCTCCATACTAATTGCTAATCGACCTGTAATATTATCAGGTGAACCAGAAGATGATGTTGACGTTAACTGCAAGTATCATGCATTGGTTCTTGAATCAACCCGTTGAAGAAAGACCGTCCGCGACTTCCGATTGCGAGACCGGAAGCCAGCTAGATACAACCTCGAATTCAACAATGGATGACTCTGGCTCTGAGTCTTCTACCGAGTGCGGGAGCATTTAACTATGACCGTTCTACAAAGTTTGTGAGGTTCTGGCTGTTATGGCTTTCGATTTGTATATGGTTTTCTGTGTTGTTGATTGCAGAGATCAGTGTATTGCATCTTAGGATGTGGAGTACATAGCGTACACCAAAATTCAATTTTGTATAATCTTATCTATACATGAAGCTTTCCTGTTTAAATACATGATTGTATAACCTAGAATCTTTTGCATTGCTTTTGGCCTTTTCAACCATTTATTTGCGACGGCGGTGGTAGACAGATATTCAGGTTTTTTTTATCAGTTTGATGCAAGCAAAACTCCTCTTTTCTTTACGGTGAAATCTGTAAGTCTCCATGCCGAGCAGACCATAAAGATCCCAAACAAGCCTCTTACAGGGCAGCACTCGACGCGTCCAATCTCGGAAAAAAGGCAGAAATTCGTCGACTAGCAAGGAGGGACCAGAAGAGAGCACTCAAGAGCTCAATGGTTCGGGGAAGGAGACGAGAACGTCAGCGTCCGTCACCATTGTGGGACAGTTACCTGAAGCTCAACGCCCCATCACATCACATTGATCATGTGGGGAACAATAAGAAGAGTACAAAACATTAACGGAGCCCCGGGGTGAAATATCTTGAGTTGTAAAGATGGGAAGGAGCCTGTGCGCCATAGCTTTTACATGTAAATAACAAATTCAAATGGACAAGGAAAATGTCAGCCGCAAACGACGAGAACCAAACAAATTTGGCAAACTTCGTCATCGGTACTTCTGAAAGAATATACCCAAAGCAACGTCCTTCTGTTGCAGCTCATGTCTGAGCTGCATGAATGGACCTGGGTACTCATTGCAGTTTCGTTTCTAAAATTGGAAGAACGGGAAAGGCATAATAACAACCCCCAAAGAACTGCTACATACTCAAGCTCACGTGTGCGAGACAGATGGAGTTTCTGGCCGCTAGAGCAGAGTGAAAACGTAGCAAGCCTGCCACGATATATGTTTGATTTGGCATGAAGTTTTAGCTAAACAAAGAACCCCATATTGGCTATGCAACTCGTCCGGTTTTACCAGGGAACCGGCCATGAAAACAGGTCCATTTCCCGGTTCCAGTGGAAAGAAATCTAATTCCCAGTTATAGATATTTTGAACTGGTACTGCGCAGGTAAGTTCTAGATTTTAGGTGCTAAACCCACCCCTCGCCAGAAAACCGTTTGAAGCTGGAAAATATGATTTATCTTTCTTAAACGAGCTTAACTTTCTATTGCTTCATATTTCTGTATGTTTTGTATCGATATTTTATTTTGAGTCATTTTGTTATTCATATTATTTTGATGTAACTATTATTTGTTTTGAATCAAAATTAAAAAAAGAAGAAAAGAAACCAGTTTCCAGGTACACCTCAGAACTGTATTAGACAAAGAAAGTTGGTTCTGGGACAAGCAGAGTAGATTTCAAGTTCCAAATATTGAAAATCGATTCTAACAAGGTAGGTTTCAAGTTTGAAGTCTAGAACCTACCCACCTTGGAGTCAATCACTCCTATAACAAGAAAAGTTTGAGAGAGAGAGAGGCTATATTGAGCTCCGCCGGCATGTGCTCGATTTAACGAGATGCATACCTCCTGTGTATAACAAGTAATCCCAACGTGCATGTTGACAAAATCATCCTCCTCTAAATCTATAACTCTCTTTGCTAGCTATTGGTTGCTGAGCTGTACAAAGTATTTGCACCTGAACTCGGTACACTCAAGAAGGTACAGGCACATCTTTGGCATTCCTCATGTTAATTACATATTTCCAGGCCGTGACCCATCAGTATCTTCACCAAGTTGCACTGTGCCAGATATGCTGATATGATCTTCGCAAGATTTTTTTTCTGCTATTATTGCAACTCCACGGAAGAACCAACTCGTGGATCAACTAATGATGGTAGGTCCCTAATCCGTGAACCACGGCCCCAGAAAGAGGCAAGGCACAGTCCCATGATAGCCATGGCAACTACTGAACATGCCGGTGGGACGGCCTGACTGCTGCCAAGAAACTGGGATGCAAGAAGGCCGGCGAGAGTGGAACTCTGCATTCCTGTGCATAAAGATATTGTCCGCCCGACTTCTTCTTCTTGCCTACAAGGAAATAAAGAGGACAAGTCTCAGGCAGTTGATCGATGAAGAAAAAAATGGATATATAGGAAATAAATCTATCCAAAAGCCCTCATCTCTATCATTAAACTCTGCCTATATTCCATGCAGGACTAAACTATAAACTCTTAGGACTATTCATGTAGGCTAGTTTCTGCTGATCCAGCTCTTGATGTTACTTGCAGACAGTATGGCAAGGCGTGTGTAAACTAATTAATCACAAGTCAAATATACATTAAACATGCAAAGTCAGATGAAAATCTCTGCCCATTGACAAAAGAAAATGTTTATAGACAAGAACAACTCACACAGAACTGTCATACCACTGCACGAGGCTTCCTATTCGTGGGTCTTCGGAGGTCCTACTGCGTGACTACTACATTAATTCTCATAGTCAATGAATTTTTAATTTCAAGGTTTCACCCCCAATCCCAACAAAGAGATCAAGCCCCACAAGAATTTGTTGTTGTTTTTCTGGTAAACTTCTTGATCTAGTCTTTAATGGTTGCCACATTCAAGTTACAATGAAGTAGCTGAGCCACACAGATAACTGAATTCTAAAGAGAAATCTCTTTCTCGCAAAAAGTAATGCGCTTGATTCTTTCAGACATAAAAGCCCCCAGACAAATCTCAAAATTCCTCCAAGTGATAACATGGTAACAAAGCTACAATAAAGCGCAGTGGACACACCTGTTTCTTCTATATCATCGACCTTAGCTCCAGATATTCAGGGGTATTAAGAACGGAAAAAAAGGTGGCATATATACTACATGAACCGGTCCACGCTCCTAAAGACTCAACTCAATGTCAACAGCTCTCTGATTAGCTAATAAATACAACTACTCCTTTTCTTTTTTCACTGTACAGAAAGCAGAATAGGCGGGTGCAAATTACCCCAGAGCTGGAAGTTTGGAGATCCAGTATCCTAAAGTGAAAGCCACCGCATGGAATGTCAACACTGGAAGAACCAGGTGCAAACCCTCTCTAGACAAAATCTGGCTCCGGTTAATTGCTAGAGGGCTCCCAATACACAATGAAGTGCAAACCATAGCAACTAACGGCATCACTGGTTGAAGAATAGAAACGACCGGTTTTGCGTACGTGTTGAGCAGCAGGCCAAGAGTTACAGGGACAAGAACAACCTGATACGCAAAGGAAAAATCTCCAATCAAGTTTGCGGGCAAGAAAGAAATAATCGATGTAAATTACAGATACTCACCACTCCCAAGCATCTCTTACCTGCAATATTGACTTGGACATGGCAACCGCATCAACTGGTACAACTGATCCAATCAGAAGGCCAGTTAAGATAGGTGTAACAAGAACCGATGCAATGGTGGTGCAGCTGGTGAGCAGAATGCTCAAGGCCACATCGCCCTTACTCAAGAAACTCGCATAGCTAGATAGCTGAGCCCCCGCTACACAAGCTGTGAGGACAAAACCAGCATAAAACATGTGAGACATCCCAAATGCCTGGGCAACTAACACCCCGAGGACCGGTTTCAGAACATACTGAGCGACGAACCCGATAGATAGTGGTAAAGGTCTGCAATAAATAAAGGAACCAGATGAAATCACGACTTCCACCAAAGTTGCAAAAAGAGCTAATAGAGAATGCATCTGAAGCTAATCAAAATACAATCACCTTTTAAAAACAAGAGCAAAATCATCGATCGAGAGCCTGATTCCTATCGACAACATGATTCCGCCAAGAGCGGGGGCGTACAACTCCTTGGATACCCTGTAGAAACTTCATGTTATTATCCATGGTCTGAAATTAAGAAGCACGGCTAGTGATGGTTAACTGCAAGAAACAGATACAATACCACCAAATTTAGCACACTATGAACTGATAAAGCATACAATAAATCAATTAAGAAGAACAGGCATTAAACAACTGGTTCGAATGCACCTTTTATCAAACTCATCCAAAAACCAGATCTTTACAGTAACTCAACCTCCTCGTCTGACAAATTGTATCATGTATGAAATTATCATAGAGAGACGTGACGAACCAGAGTGGGAATCAGTTATGTCTCCACAAACTTGCGAATACAAACTTAATAGTCCCCAGTAAAAATTCGATTTTTAAGATTTTCAGTGAATTTTATAATGGATAGCGAACGATACATATGTGTTGGTGTAAATGCGGTTTTCATATGATAACCCATGAGACGCATTTGTTTATTGTGGTGAGACGAGGAGACGCATGTATAAATATCATATATTCGAAAGTTCAGATACTGCACAGAAGAGCAGGACGACGACTGTTCCCTAGGTTCGAAACGTCTTCAAATGCAAAGCAACTGAACCTGAAAAAGTCAAGCGGTGGTCTCCCGAAAGTTCCTCGCGCGAACGGATTAAAGAAAAGAAAAGACCAATTACCAAGTGAAAGTCGCCGGCTGAGCAAGAGCGGCGACCGCCGTGGCGGCGACGACGAACGGAAGCATCGCGGACAAGACCTGAGACGAATCGGTCCCGTCGGCTTCGGAGATCACCTGCTGCTTGTTCCCGAAAGAGAGCAGCGAGACATTGCCTTCTCGCTTCTGCAGCCCGACTCTCCCGATGAAAAACGAGGTCGAGCACGCGCGCGCGGACAAGCCGCCATTGCCGAGCGCCCTCCGCCGCCCCCACCTGCGTACGGAAGCCGAAACGGAACACGAGCAGGACGGCGAGCAAGAAGCAGCAGCAGCAGCAGAAGCAAAAGAAGGAGGAGGAGGAGAGGCGGAATTCGGCCTCGCGGAGTGAGGAATCGAGGCGCGGATCCTCGACGGAGCAGCGGACGGAGCCGGGGAGAGGACCGGAACCAAGGCCGCCATCGGTGACCGGAGAGGGAGGCGGAGCCACCGGCGGGGCGGTGGTTTCCGGCGAGGCTTGGAGGGAGGGAGTGGACTGGTGGTGGTGGTGGTGGGAAGGACGCGGATGGGAGAGATAGATTGCGTTGCGATTATTATTTGTTTAAACAAATTTTTTTTAAAAATGATTCTTTATTTTATCATTTTGTTTTCCCGGAAATCTGCTGACGTGTTCGCCCCTAGCGCCGTTCGCGCCTTCCCTCGGCTTCGGGCGTTGGAGATCTCGCGGCGGGCTCCGATCGGCCGGCGATGGACGGCGTGGATTGCGCGTTACGAGCGGGCCCCACCCGACGTCGACATGGCTCGTGACCTCCGAACGAATGCCAAAAGGCGAAAAGATCGAGCTGTTGCTTTTGATGATGGCCATTCATGAAAATTCAAATCTATGTGACGATTTCAAAAATTATTTGAAAAAAATTGAATATGATAATACGCATATGGATCTGATATTTTGAAGATTTTAAAAGTTTTGTTATAATGAAAATCGTGTATTAAAAATAAAAATCCATCCGAACGAATTTCGACGTATCGTTTTGGTTCCCTAATTCTTTGTTCGGTTAGGCTAGAAGCCCTTGAAACAAGCCAAAGAGATTTTTGTCCGAATAAAAGTAACACTTTCATTGACCAGATTTAGGGAAAAAAGTTGGAGTGAATTTGATTGTTAATACTTATAATTTTTTTTATATCGATCGAGTTTTGTGTTAAAAAAATCAAATCTTTTTTTTATATTTTCTGTCCTAAATTATCATGACTACTGTGTGTCTTCGTGATATAATACGATTGGACAATCCATTTGTACCCTTTTGAGATGATAGTCCTGGTGAAAGACCACGACGACGAAACATATTAACATTAATTATCTAACAGCACAATGCTAGAGTTACTAAACTTGGCGAAACTAAACTAACATGATTATAAAGCGCTGTGGTTAGTGTCAGTTTTGAATAAGCCTACGAACTTAAATTAATCGACGATAATTTGTCATATCGCTTCGCAAATCAAAAATTTTTGCCCCCCCAAAATATTTACTTGGGCCAAGAAACCATCCTAATCACACTCTAAAATATTTTGGGCCCTCCAAGCAACTCAGGCCCAGGCCCAGGCCCATTTCACACCCCCCTCTGAAAACCCTAATTGACTTCTCCCTCACCCTCTCCGTATAAATAGCCTCCATCGGCCACTCTTCTGTCTAGGCGCTCGCGGAGCTTCTCCTTCGGCTTCAGCCTGCTGGTTCTGCGTTTTCATGTCGAGTTGCTTTGGTCCTGTCGAGTTTCGCAGTTCGTCTTTTGTCTTCTTCTTCTTCTTCTTCTTTTCTCGCAATTTCGTCATTGAATTGAGCGTTCCGTGCGTTCGTCCGTAAGCAAGTCAGCTTCTTGACTGGATCTCGATCTCGTCGATCCAGGCAATTCTTAAGAGAAAGAAAAAACTTGCGACAGCAGAAGACGACCAGTACCACTCGCCTGGATCTGACCCAACTGATTTTCCAGGCCCTTTTACTACTGGCACATGTCTCTCGTTTCACGTCTTCCCATTGCTCTTTGTTTTGCCCCACGAGGGAAGAAGTTTTGCTTTTTCGGTCGTTTGTGAAGCTCGTTCGGCGATTCGGTTCAGGGGTTTTCTTTTTCCTTCTTCTGCAGATCTGTTGGGTGTCAAAGTTTCGTGGTCCTTCTTCTTCTTCTTCTTCTTCTTCTTCTGCGTCTCTTTGGCGCGAAGCGAAAGTGGCTTGAAGAAGAAAAGCAAACGCACTCTGTCCCGAAACCATCGGAAAGATGAATGTTTGGAGGCAATTTCTTCGTTTGCGACATCGTACTCCGACTTACTCGCCCATATGATGTTTGGTTTGAGATGATCATATCGGGCACATGGTCGGTGCACATTTTCACTTTCCCCTGCGATCGAAATTCGCATAATGTGTGCGAAAATGGAAGAAGAAGACAGTACAAAATGAACGAATTTCAGTGAGCCGAGACAACATCGTTTTTGCATTTTGACTGGGACGCTGATGCATATTTGTTTTGCACTATTAGGCTCCTTTTCGCTTGGAAAACGTTTTTGATTTAAATGAATGAATAAACAGAAATTTACGATTAATTATTTTAAGCAAAATCAGTCATAAGTTTCGAAATAATGTTTTTCAAATCAATTTTTTTGAAATAAAAGGAACTTTTTTACAAAAGATCACCAGTTAACAACAAAGTTAAGTGCGATTATTGTTCTCTAAAATATTTATCATAACTTTATTAGAGGTGATATGTTCCCAATTCGATCTGGTCTAGTTCAGAGTGGTTCAATGAAACTGGTTGATATTCTCAAACATAAGAACATAAGAGCCCGTCCAGTGAGCACGGCCATATCCGAGGCATTATATAATTCTCAAACATAAGAACATAAGAGTCTGTCCAGTGAACATGGCCATATCCGAGGCATTATCATAACTGAGCTGCGTTAAGGATGACAAGTAAAATTTTTTATCTTTGAGATTAAATTACGTGTTTCAATTCGATCGCTGTGAACGGTTCTGGACAATTTGGGGAAGAAAAAAAGGAAAGAGGGAAAGCCTACGAATTAGAGGAGCTGTAAGGCAAAGTTCAACTTTGAGTTTTCTTTCACGGGGAGGCAGGGAAGCAGAGAACAAGAATGAGGCTATTGAGCTTTGCTCATAGAAGATGGGGATCAGAAATTGCCAAAGAAATCAGGACTAGGATGAGAGGAGAGACGGGAGTGGGACCCGTGAGAAGGGAAGGGAAATAAATAAAAGATCATTGGTCTAGTTCGGAAATCGGAGACCGAATCGAAAATCGTTGATTCTTATTTTATGGAATAAGGAACCAGACCGATGCTTTGACCGATTCTCAATTCGGTCGGTCAGTGTTTCTCACATTTAGAGTGCGCATGGCAACGATTCTATGCCCGGGAACTGATTCTGTTCATAAATGATTCTTTTTTGTTCTGTGCTCGGGAACTGATTCTGAGCATTTGAAGGCGTTTGGTAACGGCCCAAAATTTCCATTCCTAAAATAGTAAAAGAACAGAAATGCGTTTGGTAACGGCATAAAATTTCTTTTTATTAATAATATTTTTAATATTTTAATATTTCTTTCTTTTTTTCTTTTCTTTTTTTCTTCTCCTCCTTGGTCATGGCCGGTAAAATATTTTTTTTTATTAATAATACTTTTATTAAAAATAAATTTTTAAATTTTTTTGGCCATGGCCGGTAAAATATTTTCTTATAAATGATTTTTTTATTAATCATTTTTTTTAAAAATATTTTACTAAAAAATATTTTTATTGAAAATATTTTTTCTTTTTTTTCGCCATGGCCTGGTCGCTGGCCATGGCCGGTAAAATATTTTTTTATTAATAATATTTTAATAAATAATATTTTTATTTAAATTATTTTTTTATTTTTTTTGCCATGGCCTGGTCGCTAGCCATAGCCAGTAAAATATTTTTTATGAAAATATTTTTTTATTTTTTTTTCCATGGCTTGATCGCTGGCCATGGCCGGTAAAATATTTTTTTATAAATAATATTTTTTATTAAAATATTTTAACAAAAAATATTTTTATTGAAAATATATTTTTTATTTTTTTTGCCATGGCTTGGTCACTGGCCATGGCCGGTAAATTTTTTTTTATTTTTTTCACCATGGCCTGGTCGCTGGCCATGGCCGGTAAATTTTTTTTATTAATAATATTTTTTTATTAAAATATTTTAATCTCGCCAGATACGGCGAGGGTGACCCTTACGCCGGACATTAGAAACTATATTAAAAACCAAGAAAAAGAAGAAGAAAAAAAAATGATTCTCATTTTTGTTCCCGGAATCAAGAAGCTACTTTTTTTTTATTCTTGATTCTGCTCCAAAACTAATTCTGGGCACAAATTTGCAATAATTTGTGCCCAGAATCAAAAAATTAAACAAACGGATTTCTATTCCCAAACTGATTCTGGAAACAAAAAAACATAATCAAACACTATTTGGCAAGTTGCCATGTGCAGCCTTATTATTTACAAACATGTCAAGCCTACAAGAGGAAAAAAAAAGGATGAAAAAAAAGTGTAACGATCCGATTCGACGAGGGTGGAGAGTGTTCGCCAGAGCTAGAGAGCCTGGACAAGGAGCGGTTCTTAGCAGGCTTCTAGGATGGCGAAGGAGGTAGGAATGAACCGAATTATGCACCGAATAGGGGAAAGCGATCCTGAGATATATATGTGAAAACTGGAATTACGGAGGCGTCTTTTAACGTAATAGCAAGTTTTGTTTTGGAATTCCAAAGTTAAGCGAGCCTAGGCCAGAGGCTCCCCCTCTCTTCCCTACGCACGTCTAAGGATCGAGCCATGGACGCACTGCCATCTCTCCTCCCTGCGTACCGCCGCCTGGGCCGTCACACTCTCCATCCTTTACGGGCACAACTCCCTCGCTGTGATCCCACACGCGATCGGGAGTCGGCTCTGATACCATAATGTGACATACTAGATTTAACTCGCGGAGGCGTCTTTTGACATAACGGCAAGCTTTGCTTTGAAACTATAAAGTTAAGCGAGTCCATGCTAGAGCACTATCAGGATGGATGACCTTTTGGGAAAGTGTCTGCCTGTACGCCAAAGGACAAAACCGTAAGGTTTGGTATGAGATGGGTCAAAGTGGACAATACCTTGAGTGAGTTAAATCTAGGGTGTCACAATATGGTATCAGAGCGGGACCCTCTCCAATAGGTGTGTGGTTCAGGGACGAACCACGCGAAAGCTAGTGGGCCTGTAACAACCCGGTCCGATGAGGGCGAGGAGTGGTCACCGGGGCCAGAGGGCCTGGACAAGGAGCGGTTCTTGGCAGGCTTCTAGGATGGCGAATGGGACAAGAATGAATCGAACTATGCACCGAACAGGAGGAGAGCGAACCTAAGAAATATATATGAAAACTGGAATTAACTCACGGAGATACCTTTTGACGTAACGGCAAGTTTTGCTTTGGAACTCCAAAGTTAAGCGAGTCCAACCCAGAGCACTACCAGGATAGGTGACCTCCTGGGAAAGTGTCTGCTTATACGCCAGAGGACAAAACCGCGAGGCTCGGTATGAGATGGGTCAAAGCGGATAATAGCTCAAGTAAGTTAAATCCAGTGTGACACAAAAAGAATAAAGGCACTAGAGGTTTTGAATTATCATTGATACACATTTTCGATCGAGTCGGTCCTTCCTTAAAAGATGAACGGAGATGTTATTCCATGGGGCATTCTACGTGGCATTACAAATTTAAAAGTATGTTTTTCAAGATTTTTGAAAATGAAAATCTGAAAAAATAGAAAAACAAAGAAAGAACGAAGGGTTTGGTCAGCCAAAGGAAAATGGCATGACTTAATCACATCACATAGATATGTTATCGAATCGATGAAGTGCTAGCAAAAGGATTTACAAGGCACGAATTACACTAGTGAACCATACTAAGATTTACCGGATTTTCATGTTTCTATGATCGGGATGTTTGACTAAATCATATCTACTACTTATTTTGAGTGGGCTCGTCAATGGTGCCCAACTGAATGTAAGCAGAATAGACTAAGCTGATTGAATTGAATTGAAATGATATGAATATGAATTCATTCATTTTGGCGAAGAGAAAAACGATCAACGACTTTCTGTCTTAACGCTCCCTCGAAATTCGAGATAATTACACAAATGATCCATAAACTTTAGTCTAACATATAATGTCGTCATTGAACTCTCTATCTATTTAATGTTATCCCTAAATTTTATGCTAATGTGTAATATCATTCTTGAACTTTTAATTTATTCAATATGATACTTAAAAAATTTTGACACATGTTCAATTTAGTCCCAGAACTAAATATTATCTTCAAACTTGAATTAATGGAACGATAGCATTGAACATTTTTGAACATTTTCATATAGTTCAATGACTAAATTGAACATACACAAAAAATTCAAAGATCGTATTGAACAAATTAAAAGTTCAGAGATGACATTACACATTTAACTAAAATTTATAAATAGTACTAATAATATTAAATATTAAGTTAAAATTTGAAGATCATTTGTGTCATTATCCCTAAATATTTTTCGGGAGTAAGCAAGACGGCGGGAGGGCTCCGACGCAAGTCCAGCCCATCAGAGTGGCGGGGGACAGACTCGCTCCCGACTCATGCAGGCAGCGTGCAATCAGAGAAAACGACGAAGGCTGAAGCAGCGAAATCCAGCGTTCTCACGAAGGAGCTGCACTCCTCGTTGAGCCGATCAAACAGGGAAAGCTCATACAGAGAAGACCGAATTCGAGTCTGAAGAGGAAGCGCAAGAATGACGGGCAGGGCCTTCGCCGCCTCTTCAATGGCAGTGGCTGCTCTCTGTAGGAGGCCCCACAGATTCAAGAATCTCCTCCCCATTGCTCTCCCCCATGTCCCTCTGCGCCATTTTCACTCTCCCAGGTCTTTCTCCCTCTCTCTCGCCCGTAATTTGTCGGAGTTTCTGCCGCCTCTTTCGCTTCCGGTTCTCTCGTCTTCCCCGAAATTAAGCGCGTAGTGTCTACAAGATACGACCTTTGCCCGTTCCCGTGCTTTGTTCGGGGCAGCTGTCAATTGGGTTTCTAGCGGAAGCAATGATTGGTCTTGGCTGCGAGTCGTTTTGTTGTGGTTGCCGCAATTTGGGCTCATGTTTTTGGCAGAAGAGTTGAGTATCGTGTGGTTAGACTTCGAGTGGATTCTAAAGATGTTGTTTTACGTCGTAAGATGATTACTTCCTGTTTCGTGTCCGTTCGAGAGCCCGCGAAATGGGTTGCCTTCTGATTGTAGCTAGGCTCTGTTCTAATTCCAGTTTGAGATCCCTTCACAATTCTAATGTGGGTCGCGCAGACTAATTACTACTCAAGTGTTATAAATGGTTTTCCCCGGAATTTTCATCACGTCTTTTGAATTTCTTTTGGCTTCTCCGTCTATCTTGTGATTGCAAAGTCTCTTATGGTAATGTATGTATTGGATTGCATCATTGTGGTGTCTCCGTTTCGATGTTGAAAGTATTTATGCCTGATTGCTAAAATGTTTCTAGCTCCACTCTCCGATTGAACTGAGTTCAATCTAAAAATGAGTATTGCGTGAATGCTATCCCTCACTGCAGTAGCTTGGATGATGTTCTGTTCAAGGTTTTCAGACAGAAACTCGATATTCAGCCTCTCTGTGATGCAAAAAGGCTGTCCTTGGCTGGGTGTCTACAAGCTCATTGGCATCCATTCTCTAATGTGGTGGACAAAGGTGTAGAGCTGCCAAACCATTCTGAAAGCAGCGGCACAGTAGATGAACCTGGTGAAACTAAATCGAGGAGGAAAAAGCTGAAGGGGAAAAGAGCCGTCATCAGGTGGCTTAAATTTTTTAGATGGAAGAAGAAGAAAGAGTATGGAAGGATGACAGCAGAAGAGAAGATTTTATTCAAGCTCAGAAAGGTAGACTATTTACCACTTGTTGATTTGAGAAATCCAGGGAACTTACGAACGAGATTAGCAGGCCAACTTTCCATTGTTTTCTCTTTTCTTCTTACGTATGTTAAGCTTCTAGGTACTTGCTCTTTGATGATCTAGAAAGTGTGTTGTGTACCCTGGGATCTTGAAAAGAATGCTTGCGTGATATGATATAGATAAAGGTTATGGAGTTTGTCAGGAATGATGAATTGTGAATTGAGATATACTGGACATTTCAATTAGTTTTTTAAACTTATTGTTAGGAAAATGGAATTGAAGTTATAAGGTCATGATACTGTTGTGACTCGTCAAAAGTAGAAAGATATATTAGATTGGAGGTCATATAGGGGAGAGAGGACAGAGTTATCACTCATGAATGCATTAGAGAAGTCCATGTATTATGGAACACCAAAAAGAAGTGCTAATAGTTGTCGGTCAGATAAGTTTAGTAGTCTTCTTTAGCTTAACAGAATTTGGAAACCATGTGATTAAGGGATTTTAAGAGCCCATCATTTGCACGTGGATATCCTATCTATTGACCCTTCCTTCCCTTCTTGCAACTGGCTGTCTTATTGGCTGGTTCGGTGTAATAGGAACCTCCAGTGTTATTAACAGCATGATTAAGAGTTGAATTACTAATCACTTGTCGAGAGATAAAGTAGAATTGTTCCAGTTCCTGATCCAGTTTCATGTCCTCTCTCGCCTATCTAAAGATGCATCATCCTCCTTTACAGGCTCGAAAGAAAGAGGAGAGGCTTGTGGAAGCTTTGAAAAAGATTGAACCTGCAGAATCATCCGAACCAACCCATGATCCTGAGATATTGACTCCGGAAGAGCACTTCTTCTTTCTGAAGATGGGCCTTAAGTGCAAGAATTATGTCCCAGTTGGGCGAAGGGGAATTTACCAAGGTGTAATACTTAACATGCACTTGCATTGGAAGAAGCACCAGACGGTGAAAGTGGTGGTGAAAACCTTCTCGCCAGAGGAGGTTAAGGAGATTGCTGCTGAACTCGCTAGATTGACCGGAGGAATAGTTCTTGACATTCATGATGAAGACACTATAATTATGTATCGAGGGAAGAATTATTGTCAGCCGCCAACAGAAATAATGTCGCCTAGGATCACTTTGTCGAGGAGGAAGGTAACCGCCTCCCCCCCTCTCTATTGAACAAAGTGAATCTGTCTATTAAGTTTAAGTTGGGTAAACCGTTGGTTTTAATCAAGTGATCAAATCTGTTACTGCATTTAATTCACCTTTAGGATTTAACAGATATCATGTAGACGAGATTACAATATATTTAAAAAAATTGTGGAGTCTAAATTGTTGCTTTGAATTGATTATTCTTAGCATAACTTGAAAAGAAAATATTTTTGGTACAAGCTAAGTTCATTTTCCAGCATTGATATTGCTTTGTATTCTGGCATTCTTGATCAAGCAAATGTATATTTCAGTTCTCAATTTCCTTTTTCACCAAAAAAGGGTCCTGGCGTTAGGGCTTGTTTACTGTGTTTTCTGTAGTAATTTTGCTATCATGTGCATATGGATAGTTTGATTAGTGTCTGCAAGAAGTGTTCTTCTTTGGTGATTTGCTTTTTTTTAATTGACTTTGCTGATTTGCTTGAATTGCACTATAGTATACAAAATATTCATATTCGAAGCTTCATGGTTGATTTTTTTGGCATTCCAAAGATGCTTATATGTTTGTTCACGCCATAAAGTTATTCCTTTTGTCATCAGGCATTGGATAAATCCAAATACAGGGATGGTTTAAGAGCAGTTAGAAAGTATCTTCCAAGACTTGAACAGGATCTTGAGTTGCTTGAAGCACAGGCTCAAAACAAAGTTGAGGTTAAAAAAGAGGCGGATGGTGAAATCCAGGCAACAGATATTGGAGGCATATCTTCCACGGGAAAATCGAAATTGCAGCTGGCGAATTCCGAGAAGCTGAGAGAAATTTTGGGTGGAAATGATGAATCGGTTGACGATGACTCTAACATGGAGTCGGGTGTAGAATCAGATTCAGAAGATTTATCTGATATTTTCGAGACGGAAACTGAGGCTGATTCTGAGGACAAGAGGGAAGAGGACCTGTTTCTGGACATATTCGATAAGTTTCCTGTGGAAACTGCCAGAGAGCCCGAGGATTTTGAGGATCACTTGCGTCAAATATCTGTGGATACAAGAAACGCGAAAACATTAGGAAAAGATGCCGACTCTCCTGACCTTGATGAGGTCGACAGGTTGTTTCTGCGTGCAGCTTCGCTGTTGAAGAAAAGGAAAAGATAGTATCGCCAATTCAGTAAAGTCTGCAGCATAAACATTGTAGAGCATACTACCCTAGTGCACTTCAAGTCTTAGCTATCTGGTGTGGTCAAAAGATGCATTTCTAAGGTCAGCTGGTAGCTTTGGTTGAGGGGCACTTAAAGTTGGATTAATCTGACATGCTTCTTGTTATTGCTCTGCAAACAGAACTGGTAACGGCATCATATATATATGATAGAAATTCGGCTTTGTTTTGTGAAGCTGCAAATGCCGAGCTTTGTGAGGATTAGGAGAGAATGATACGGGAGGTTTTGCTATTTGGTCCTGCTTTCCTTTGCTCTGCTTTTGCCAAGCCACTTGGGGCAAGCACATGTCGAAATTCAAATGTTCGATGGCAAAACCGAACCATCGTGGTCTCGCCGTTGTATTTCACTGATGATTGTGCAGTCAGACCATATGTATGGGGGAACCGGATTGAAATAAGCCCTTGCTCATTCAACAAATGCAATCGTTTCATTCTCTCCATTTTTCGCCACTTGTATACGTCGCAACGTTGTATTTTGCTGTCAAATTTCTTTGGAAGTTGCTCTCAGTTTCAAGCAGCCCCCATAAGGGTTATCTGAACAAATATTGCTGGAGCAATGGAGCTGCCTCAACCAGCATCTGTTAGAACTTGCGTGCACAAGAATTTAGTGCTGTATAAAATTAGTAATGTTGGGTTTTTGCTTTTGTGGAGGATGAGATATTTCTACTCCTGAGAGGGTTGAAGCTGGACACCCCAGATAAATGATAATATCTCTATTCAATTTTTATTAATAAGTAAAAACTAAGTGCTTGAAAAATCACATTATGTTCCTTGGGGACAATAATAGTTAATAAGGAATGTTTAAATTCATACAAATCGTGTAGACCAAGAAGAAAGATTCATTCTGATTTTATGGAAAAATGGAAGAGTCAAAAAGAATTTGTCCCCCCAGATGAAGATAATCAGAGAAGTTTTCAGTGAATTATATGACCCAAGAAATTTTGAAGTCTTAACCCGTTTCCCCTACTTGATATTTCACTTCAATTGGCCGACAGTAAAAAAAAGATTAAAATAATCCATTACCAAATAGTCTTTTTAATTCGAAATGACGAAAAAAGATCCAATTTGCTCTTTTTTATTTTTCATTGAAAACGTATTAATAATGTGAAGAAAAGCCAAAAACAAGAGACAGGTGGTTGTCAATGCGTTTTCCACTGAAGACGATCGCTTTCTTTTCTGTGCGTCTCCGAGGTCTTGTCCGAACTCCGAACAGAGGAGCTTCGCAAAACTCGCTCTCGCAGTCTCGCAAAGGGGATTGAGGTTCCTTGCGCGTCCATTAATTCGAGTAAAGCTCCTAAATTTGCTTCTGCTTTTCTGGTCTTGAGTTATTGCTCCTGCCCACTTCCTGATTCAGTGCACTTCTAGTGCTTCGTCAGCTTCGAATCTCCTGTTAGGGGCTGTAATTACTTGCGGAAACTCACAAATTACGATGCTTTTGGAGCTCTCTAGGTTCTTTGCTAGTCCTCCTTTATTTTTTTGCTTCTGGGAAAACTTGATGAGTGACATAGCCAAAACTGGAATTGCATACTTGAGAGCTTCTTGTCTATTGTTTCTTTTACCCCGTCACAGAAGTTCCATTTTTGGCTGTGTTTGATGACTATAAGCTAATTTTTCTTATTTAGTTGAATCTTGAATCGACTGTTTTATGGGTTGGCTGTGTACGTAGATTGCATATTTATTGAACTGCCGGAGTTCTGTCCCATGATCGAGTTTTGACTATTTTGGGTGCCAAAAGTATGCGCTCGAGAATCAGGTGTCATTTTGCGTTTCTTTCATTGTCAGTTCGATATTTTCTGCCATGACGGCGCCGTAGATCTTTGTCTAATGCGAATTATCTTGGTATCTTTACCTTATTCATCGGTACCAATTTGAAGAAAACGAGCTTCCTTAGTTCCCTTGTATGAAATTGGAAGTCTCTCTCCTCTCTCTCTCTCTCTCTCTCTGGGTGCTAGTTGTTGGGATATATTATTTTTTTCTTCTAAAAGTATCTTGTTCTTCGATATGTTTGGGGAAAAAGAAGAAGTATAAGGGTTCAGATGGTGATCTTGTTTGCTTTGGTATGGCTTTATCTTATGATGGGTCTGTGGTAATGTTGGCAGTGGATGAGCGGCCATCTGTGGTTGAGGATGGGGATGCAATCGAGTGTTCAAGTGGAAAAGAAACACCAAATGAAGGGTGTTCTGATATGGAGCCATATGTCGGGATGGAGTTTGAATCTGAGGAAGCTGCAAAAGTTTTTTATGACACTTATGCCACACACATGGGTTTCATCATGCGCGTTGATGCGTTTCGGAGATCAATGCGTGATGGGAAGGTTGTATGGCGTCGGCTTGTCTGTAATAAAGAAGGTTTCCGAAAGTCAAGGCCTCGGAGAAGTGAAAATAGAAAGCCAAGAGCTATCACGAGGGAAGGCTGTAAGGCAATGATAGTGGTCAAGAAAGACAAAACCGGAAAATGGGTGGTCACGAAATTTATAAAGGAGCATAACCATCCACTGGTAGCTGCTCCAGCAAATAGCCGCCGGAGTGTTCTTCTCTCTCAAACACCAGTAAGTGCGCTTATTTACCTTCACATTATGAATGCGTGTGTGCACTCATTAGTTGACAAATACGGATTCTATTTTCCTCGTGCTTATAAATCAGTGTACTCTGACATTCTCTCAATCTACTACACTTAGTGGGAGGTTTTTATTGCCCTTTATGCTTCCAAATTGAGGAATCATATTCAATAATTTCAAGAGTCTGCAGATAGCTTCTCGTGTGTGATACTGATGCTGGTGTTTGCATTCTATTTTTAATGAAGTAGCAGTAAGGCTCAGGATAATGGTAAGATCTGTGAACATGTAGACTTGTGACAGAGTTCTATCAATTCTTTTATACCCCCTGTCCTAAAATCCTGGCTACTTGGAAGCCAAGATACACAGTCCTTGTCATATCCAACCATCCCTAGGGTGCATATATCTCAAGGATGAAAGAGTCTGATGCCATTCCCCTTCCCTAGAATAAACAGTAGAAGTGTAGCGTGCCAACAATGATGCTTTTTTCTGTGGCTATTGAAGTAGTTTGGTGTTGCTTTCCCATAGGGTTTAAAAATTGTAAGATGGATGTGAAAAGGCATATCTTCTGGATAGACTGTGTGCTGCCAAATGAGTATCTAGAGAGGGTTCAGGTTCGAATGATGTGAAAAGAGAGCAAATTTAGTTGTCTGATCTGAAGAGCGTTAGCCTGTTGTTAGAAAGTAATTTGCATTCTGATGCAAGAATTACCTTTTTCTCCCGATGATTTATCACACTTACCTGGGCACCGAAGCTTGCTTAGCGATTCTAGAGTAAGGAGTTCACCGGGATCACCCCTTGAAAATGGGTTTGTTGCAGAAGTAACTATCTTCTAGTTTGTTAATCCTTATATCAGGCATCACAATAACACATCTTGACAGGAAGTCAAGTTAATTTAATAGAAGATAGCACAGAAGACAGGATTACATTTGAGAGCAGCCCCATTTTGCTCTGGAGTTATAAGCGCGAGCTGCTGAGGCTTGGCCACTGATGTATTGGTTGCCTCAGAACCATGACAGCATGGTTCTGATTTATTTTGATAAGTAAATGAATTTTACCATGACGATATACTAATATTATTAAGTTCCAGCTCAAGTGAGGATAACTGGTTATATTAAAGGCAACAGCACGTGCTTCATTTGACCATGCTCCCTTGTTTGAGAATCCTTGTGGTGACTTTATCCTTTCTTTGTACTACCGAACATGTGGGGGCTTCTGTCGTTTTGGTATGATAATGATATTCTGGAATTTCAAATCAGCTGAGGTTTGACCTTTTCCGAGTAAATACTTAATGCCATGCCTGGGATTTGTCATTCTGATTTGGCGGTGCATTCTCTGATTGCTAGACAGCTGATTGTCTTGAATCTCTCCGACACTTAATTTGATATACTGTGACACTGCAGGATGAGAAAGATGTTAAAATTCGGGAGTTGACTGCTGAGCTACAGCGTGAGCGGAAGAGATCCGCCGCTTATCTGGCGCAGCTCGAAATGGTTTTGCGGGATATGGAAGAGCATTCAGGCCACCTATCGAAAAACATCGAAGACATAGTTAAAAGCGTGAGAGAAATTGACTCGAGGAGAGCTCCTGTCAGTGGTAGCCAATAATGTGTCTCTTGTAACTGCGGTAGTCATGTTCATGTCTTTTTCCCCTTAGGTTGCAGATTAGCTGCAGGATGGGTTGAACCTTCTAAAAATAAGGGGAATTAATTAATAGTAAGGCTAACATAGCTAACTTAGAAAATGGAAGGGCTATAATCAGCTTGATTGATTGTGCTTGTTTAAGATCTTTTGAATACTTTCTCATAATTTCATCAACCATTCTTAGTTGTCAATAACATCACTCTGCATTGCGAAACTGACTGAGTACCTCATTCAAAAACCTGTTCGAGTCGCTTCTTCAGCATCAAAATTTCCCATGACATGCTCATGCAAAAAATCATATACGAACCAAGCTGCATTTCAGTTGAGAAGCACGAAGGACTCAAAAGAGCTAGAAATTCACTTCAACTTCTCATTATGAACACTAAAGAGTTGTACTTTCAATTGCTTCGAAACACTGGCTCACACTCATCAATGCAGAAAAGCATACACGGCGGTGGAAATATAACCCACCAGAGCCGAGGACACGAGCACGACCAGCGCCGACACCGCACGGACCGCCGACTTGCTCCCGCAGGACAGCATGCCGAGCCTAATCTCGATGACGCTGATCATGGACAGCATCAGGAAGACGCAGCCCATGACCGAGCCGAAGGCCGAGCCGACCATCCCGAACCTGAGGACCTTGATGTTGATGTGGGCCCTGAGGGCCTCGTTCACGTCCTTGCTGTTGAGGAGGTTGATGGCGAGCTTGAGGCCCTGGGCGACGAGGGAGGAGAAGAGGAAGAAGCTGAAGGAGACGACCTCGAAGACCAGGAGCTTCTTGACGACATCGATGCCGGCGTCGCAGGGGCCCGGGTTCTCGAGGCTGTGCTGGGGCGGGGTGGTGAGGGAGAGCCCCACGAAGACGGCGATGGTGAAGAGGGAGTTCACGTTCACGAGGCCGTCGAGGGCGGTCACCTGGACGCTCGTCGTGGTGGTGGCGGCGGAGGAGGAGGAGGACACGGTTCTCGCCGCGTTCTGCGTGTAGTAGTCCTTCGGGTACGCCCCGGATCTGCAAGAAAAGGGGAGAAGGAACGTTAATATGTAGGGGGAGAGAGAGAAAGAGAGAGAGTTACTCGTCCATGGATGGATCTTGAAAATGCTGGTCAAGAAACACGGGCTTAGGCTTTGGACTGTCTGCTACAGAGAGAGAGAGAGAGAGAGAGAGAGAGAGAGAGAGTTACTCGTCCATGGATGATGGATCTTGAAGATGCCGGTGAAGCTACGGAGGGCTAATGCTTCGGACTGTCTGCTACACAGAGAGAGAGAGATCTACTGTTAATGTTAACTTTCTTGGTGATTGCTTGCAGGGTTTTGCATCGATGTTTCTTGGAAGGGAGAGAGGGAGATGCTTTTGCTTTTGGGTCAATTTACTTTTTTGCTTTTTATATAATTCTGGGTGGGTGTGGGTGTGGATGAACGAGAGAAAAGAGAGAAGGACGTTCGGACACGGAAAACAGGTGTTGGAGCTGGAGTACACTCCGTTTCCGAAAGAGTCATTGTCTCTGTACCTGTTCCATGTCTAGCCACCGTATTCGTAGGTTACTGCTGTCGTCCTTACCGATAAGGGGCCGTCAGCCCGGCCCTAACTTGGGTGGGCTGGGTTGGGATGGCCCGTGTCATTGGGCCTAGTGGGCCGGCCCATGAATGGCCCATTCTAATTTAACAGCGTCATGTTCGGCCGCATTAATCAAAATAAAATCAACTTCTAAAGAAATTCAACCCCTCCTCCTCCTCCTCTTACTTTCGCGATCATGCGCTTCCCCTTACTTCTCAGAAAATGGCGATCTCTCTGTAAAGGATATTTCCAAGCTTGGAATTCGCGATCGACCAAAATCAGCGGCAGCGCCTAACCCATTTCCCAGACGGCTCGCCAACTTTCAAAAAACTTTCTTTGGCGAGGGTCGAATGTTTGGAAGATGTTGGACACCGTGGGCTGGGCTTCCCCAATGGTGAGGAGAAGGCCATCTGCACGATATGTTCCTGTGATGATAAAAATGTGTTTTTAATTATTAGGTTGTAATTTTTTTTATGAGAATGTAATGATCTGAGTTTGCTTCTCACGTATTTGTATTTTGACAATGGCAACCTGTATGGTGTTATTTGATTTTATAATGAGATGTATTCGTTCAGGTGCGAGTCTTACGTACTATGTTATGTATTCCATTTTTGTCCGATTATCCCTGCTTGGAACTCACTATAAAAAATAATCGTGAAGTAGGAATAATTTATTCTACTGAAATTTCCTTAATTTTTTCCATCGTTTAATTGAATTTTAAATTAGTTTTAAAAAATATAAAAAAGAAACAAAGAAATTAAAAACCACCCTGGGCATAACGTGCTTGAGCCTAACACGGGGGCTAGCACAGCCCATTGGTGTCATGGGCGTGCCTGCCCGTGCACGGGATTTCCCATGCCATGCTTGGCCCGACACATAAAATTGACGGGAAAATTATCCAAAAAGTCTTAGACCTATTGCATTTTTGCCAATTCAGGCCTAAATCTTTCAATTTTGCCAATTGAGTTCTAAACCTTTTCACTTCTTGCCAATTAAGTCCATTCGGCCAATTTTGGCCGGAAATCGCTAACGTGGACATCGGCGATTAAATATCACATCCCGTTCATCAAGTAAATTATCTCTCCTTCTCTTCTTGACTTGCGGATTCCTCAATCATCATCATTCTTTGAGGAATACCAGCTTCACACATTTGGGTAAACAAATTCCATCTATTAATTGATGTGCCAGTTAGTTATTATTGACCGTTGAATATGACCAGCTAATTGCCCCGTGCCGAACTCGCTCTGCAAGGAATGATGTCGATTCCGGACGTTCCAAACTTCCAACCTCGATTTTTGGCCGCTCGAAAGCCAAGAACCGTCGGTCATCAATCGAGTTCACTGAACATAGCGATCTCAAAGCTGTGAAGCATCCCAAAATAATTGCGCATGCACGACTTTGTGATGTGATACTGAACATGATATTTCAAACAAGTCAAAATTATTTGGCTAATAAGAAGCAAGTTATTTTACTATGAATAGATGCTTGCTTACACGAAAGGAAGAAAGTTTACTGTCATTCTACTCTAACAAAAAGAAAACATTTAGACTATGCATCTTCGAAGTTTTAATACTAATTGACATTTTACTACCGAACACAGAAGCCAGAAAAGGCGAACACAAGACAGTAACTCGATCAACAACTTCACAACCTCCTGAATATGGTCTAAAAGTTCCGGCCATCGAGATCACGGAGTTGTTCGAAGGTGACTCCAAAGAACGGCAAACCGGTGGTGCTTGAACTCGAAGCTTTCGTGAGACTTGTGTCATGGTCAGGTCGGTTGAGGATTGGTCTGCAAGCACGCGAGTGCTAGTGCTGCGACAGACATTATGTGTTGCGCATCCCGGTTCGTTGGAGGCGAGAGCCGTTGGTCCAGCACATCCTTCAATGGTGTTTGCGACTTGGATTGAGTGGATGAAAATACTGACGAGGCATAATCTCCCGGATGCTTTCCATGATTGTCTCCAGTACCACAAAACTCCAAAGCTATATACATCACATTTTTCGGTTGGAATGTTGGAATAAGCTAGCTCTGCAATTGAAGAATTCAAAGTCCATTGATAATCTTGTCATCTATAATTAAAGATTCGGAAATTTGCTTTCAAATAATCAAGGAATTTCCAATGACAACACGAGTTGGGACAGTAAATTAATATGCTTTTGCAAAGAACATCACCTGGAGCGATGTATCCGACGGTGCCAGCAATAGTAGTCCAGTTGGTCGAATCTGGCCTCAATAATCTTGCCGTGCCAAAGTCTGAGACACGAGCCTCATAATCAGCATCCAACAAGATGTTGTTGCTGGTCAAGTCTCGATGGATCAATGGAGGAAAACAGTCGTAATGCATATACGACAATGCATCCGCAACTGCTCGAACCATGTTTATCCTTTTGTCCCAGCCAAACTCTGTTGCTCTTTCATCATCATGCAGAATTGTTCTCAGGCTCCCTCTTTCGACGTACTCGTACACCAGAAAACAATGTCGTGCATGAGAGCAGAACCCGTAAAGCTTCACGATGTTGCGGTGGCGAATATTTCTTAAGGCTTCAATTTCCCTTTCAAAAGGAATGATGTCGACGGTCACATCTTCTTGGGACGATGGAATTTTCTTGACTGCAACAGTTTGACCTGATGGTAGATCAGCTCTGTAAACAACGCCATAGGCCCCTTCTCCCAAATAGTACTTGGAGTCAAATCCTTCCGTGGCCTCCACGATTCGTTCGTAGAAAATTTTGCCATCAAAACTCAGAATCTGCAAGAAATCTAAATCATTCGTCTCTGTTTGTGCATTCCTCTGTCTCTCGATAACCTTTCTTTGACGGCGATTAACAATTACGAGAAAGATCAAGAAGGAAGAGAGAACGAGGAATCCCAAGAACGAGAGAACAAGGATAATTAAAATTCTAGCTCTGCTGTGTCGATTGTGTTTCTTGCTCATGTTAGAAATATTGCATTTTTGTAATCCACTCACGCTCCCACACAACCCTTTGTTATGCTGAACTGCCTCAAATGGAGCCTCCTTAAAAGCTTTGACATTTGGGAGAGGACCTTCCAATTCATTGTAGGACACATCAACAGAAGTTAATGCCAATAAGTCAGCAAAACTATGTGGGATGGTACCAGAGAGGTCATTGTGGGAGATGTTGAAAGTTTCCAGGACTCTCAAATTTCCTAGATCTGGTGGTATTCTTCCGGTCAATAGATTTTGACTCAAATCAAGAACGCTTAGGAATCGTGCGTTGCCTATCTCAGGAGGAATGCTTCTTTCGAATTTATTTTGGCTCAAGTTCAAGCTCAGCAAGTTGGTGCATAGGCTGAGCTGCGGTGGAATGGCTCCGCTCAAATTGTTTGACGCCAGGTTGAGATGTTCCAGTCGAGATAAAAATCCAATTTCACTGGGAATATCACCTGTGATTACATTGTTGTTGAGGATAAGATCTAGCAGTAGTTGCGAGCTTCCCAATTCCCTCGGAATCTTTCCGCTTAAATTATTTGAAGAAAGGTCAAGTACCTGTAACTGCGCCATCCTTCCAAAAATCGGGGGTATCTCACCGGAAATGTTGTTGTTTGATATCCTTAAGCTCGTCAAATTGCGGCAATGCCCCCACTTCCATGAAAGTTTGCCGTGCAAATAATTGTGGCTCAAGTCTATAAAATTCAGCTGTGGATGTATTCCAAAGGCTTCCGTTACACTCCCAGTAAGTTTGTTTCCTTCGAGCCTCGCTCTAACTAATGAAGTGCAATTCCTCAAGCTTTTAGGGATATGACCGGTGAAATGATTATTCTCGACAGTGAATTTTTGCAATGATCCACCGAGGCATATATTTTCCGGCAGTTGCCCTTCGAGGGCATTATCAGCGATTTGAAAATCAGTCAAATGAACGAGCTTATTAATTTCAGGAGGCAAGGAACCGTGAAAGTTGTTATTATTAAGGCCTAACCAAGTTAAATTGGCTAAGGTTCCAATTGATGCAGGGATTGAACCAGTCAAATAATTCATATTCAAATCTAATTCTACAAGAGAAGTTAGTTTCCCTATCTCTTCGGGAATCAAACCTGAAAGATGATTTGAGAATAGGTTCAATAAATTCAGATTGGTCAAATTCTGAATAGATGAAGGGATATGCCCGACCAAATTATTTTCAGAAAAATCTAATTCAATTAGAACGCTTAGCCTCCTGATTTCTAAAGGTATGGATCCTGAAAGTTTGTTCTCCCATAAGTCAAGATACTTCAAACTTATTAGGTTGCCTATCTCTCTTGGAATGGGACCAGAAAGGTCATTTTGTGCTACAATCAATTTTGTTAAGTTGCCTAATTTTCCAAGAGAAGGAGGAATGGACCCTGAAAATTGGTTATGAAAAAGAGAGAGAAAATTTAGGCTGCTTAGGTTTCCTAGTGAAGTAGGGATAGGACCTGTGAGATTGTTTATGCCAAAATGAACTTCCAAAAGAGAATCTAATAATCCAATCTCCCCAGGGATGTGTCCACTCAAATAATTTGCACATAGGCTCAAAAAGCGAAGACTCTTTAGCATGCCTATACATGGAGGTATGTTTCCAGAGAGTCTATTCTCACAAAAATCAAGATAGTCGAGTTTGGAAAGGTTACCGATACTTGAGGTTATAGGGCCATAGATTGAGTTGTTGTTAAAGTCAAGGCCAACCACCTTGGTTAAGCGCGAGAAGTCGAGACCAGTTAAGGTTCCTCTCAGGCCTAGATTAGAAAGATTAAGATGGACGACGAATCCGTAGTCATTGCAAGTGACACCCGAAAAGTGGCAAGAGTTG